TTATGTAATTAAACTGGTATCTGCTAACTCTGTTTTGGTGTTTCCTGCCTGGAGTGTAACTTGGACAGAGTAAATCTCTGGTCCTGGTAGATAAACAAACATTTGAATTCTATATCCAAATTTACAATTGGGGAACTTTAGTTTGCTGATGGATGTTTCTTTTCCTCTCTCTCTCTCTCTCTTTCTCTCTCTCTCTCTCTTTTTGCAATTATTTGGATTTTCAGAAAAGTTGGAGAAATAGTACATAGGATTCCCATATACTTTGCCCAGCTTCCTGTAATTTATACAACCACAGTACAATTATCAGAACTGAGAAATCAACATTGATACAATAACATTAATTAATCCATACACATTATTAGAATTACAGTATTTTCCCCACCAATGACCTTTTTCTCACCCAGGATCCAGAACAAGATCCACTGCATTTAGTGGTTATTTTTCCTCAGTCCTCTCCAATATGCGATAACTTCTCAACCCCCTTTTGTTCTTCATGACCTCAATACTCTTAAAGAAAACTGGCCAGTTATTTTATAGAGTAGCCCTCAGTTTGGCTTGGTCTGATGTTTTCTCATGATGAGATTGAGGTTATATATTTTTGGCAGGAATGGTGCAGAATAATGTTCTCTTTTAAGCCTCTCCTGTCAGGGGTACATGTCTTATTACTAGTGCTGCTAACTTTGGTCATATGTTTAAGGTGGTGCATCAGGTTTCTCCACTGTAAAATTATTACTTTTGTCTTTGTAATTAACAAGTATCTTGGGGGGGGTTACTCTGAGACTAGACAAATTTCTTGTTCCTCATTATACTCAGATCTACTAATTTCAGAATCCAGTCATGATTCTTGCCCATAGTCATTACTTTTTTTTTGTTTGCTTAATGGCAATTTTCTATTTCCATCATGCCTTCTATGTTTATTAATTATTATTTTACTGTGAGGAGAAGCTGACCTTTCCCCTCCATTTGTTTATTTATTCAACCATTTATATAACTATGGATTCATAGATATTTTTATAACATGGGTTAAATTCCATTATTATCATTATTCATTTTGTTGCTCAAGTTATCCAGATTTGGCCATTGAGAGATCCTTCAAGCTGGCTACTGAGTCTTTTTGACATACCTCCATCACTTTATGAACACTTGCTTAACTTCTGATACTGTTAAGATATTCTAGGCTCATCTTTTATATTCTTTGCCCCAGTCTTTGAATCAACTATTTCTTTAAGGAGCTATTTTTCCCTGTATTAGATAATGATATTTAGAAACCAAGATCTTTATGCTTAGTGCACTTACTGCTACTGGGGTATCTTTGCTTGTGGAGTTGCCCCGAAGACAGAGCTAGGATATTTATGATTATGTACTCATACATGCATATACACATTTATTTTATATATACCTTAGCATTATTCATTAAAATCTATGAGGAAATAAATGACATCTCAAATTCCAATTAAACATCATAGGTATTTTTTAAGGGAGTTCTTGTAATCATTAAAAAAAATGGAAATGAACTTCCTCTTTGGCTTGGAAATAATCTAATCTTAAAATCCTCCTCATCCTTAACATTTTAATCTCCAACACTCCTGATGAGCTTCGATTGACATCTGCTCTAAGAGGAATATTATAAGAGCTGGATTTCTCGAGACAAATATTATTTCATAATAATGTCATAGGGCTATCCAGCACATCCTGATGGCCACTCATACTTCTCTAATTCTCAGATGGAATAAGGATGCCCTGTATTAGGATTACAAGTGATAGTCTTTCTAAGGTGGTCCAGATTTTCCCACATTTTAGTGATGGGAGTTATCTCCTTCTTAGGTCATTAGTGTGACCCATGTGCTCCCGGGATTCAAGCTAGAGATTATTGGGTAGGTTCTTTCTTAGTCCTTCCAGAAATGTATGTACATATGTTTAGAATATCCCAGTTCCTCAAAACTCTGATTATGAAGTTACCTGAGCTTCCTAACAAACACAGCAATTTCTTAGTGACTTTCAAATATGAGGGTATGTCAGATGATATGGCATACACAAGCTTTATCCATAGATAGTAGTGACTGGGTGTGCAAAATAGTCCTTGCATGTGAGGCAGGGAACTGCCTTGAAGACAGTTTATAATCCATAATTCAGCTGATTCTTACCTGGAATGTATCTGTGTCTCAGAGTTCTGGTTCTGACCTTTGGGCAAAGCTGAAGAAGCATTACAATTGTGTTTCAGAAAACATGTATTGGTGGTCATTTCTAAGATTTCCATCCTCAACATGGTCCAGGATAGGGTATCAGTAGATGGCTTTTGTAGAATGAAGGAGGTAGAATGACCAAAGTAATAGTATAAAGTAGATTTTGTCATGTTTGATAGGCAGTCTGTATCTGTTGGTTGTTAGGCACTTGGGCATGGTAGGTGGTGGTTTAAAAAGGGAAGGGGAAGCTTAAGGGAGGTTTCAGGAATAAGTTCTCATAATTCGCAAGTGAATTTACAGGAGCTAAGACTGAGGGTTTCAGTATTGGAGAGAAGTAAATGATAATTTCTAGCAATAAGGTGGAAAAAGGAAAGGCAAGTTTTTGAGACATGGAATTCAGAAAAAGGACAAATGAGGATAACGTAAATTTCTAGACCTGAGAAGGTGGTAGTACTAGTTTTGAATATAAAGCTACTGGAAGCTACTCAGCCAGAGCTATTATTTAATCAATACATAAAATAGAATCAAAACTTACTTTTCCAATAAGCTTTCCGTGATTAATACTTCCATATTATAGAGTATAAAATTAGTTGTTTGCTCATCCCCTTAGAAACTATCAACACACTCTATGTTATTTGGTATCACTTTGCTTTGTAAATTCATGTCATTTTTCAGTTTATGATTGTCCCTTCATCACATGGACCTATTACTCTGTCTTCCCCTTCTAACACATAGAAAGCCTTGCACCTTGCTGTGAACATAGTAGTTGAATGAACACTTGTGAGTGAGTGTTGAATGGAGACTAGAGCCATTCATTAGTTTATACTACTAAAATTTCAACAGTGAGATCCAAGGTGATTCATAGTTAAAAATACGGTTTTCTTATTAATGCAGAATTTTACCAGAAGGCTGATTAAAAAAAAAATGATCTTTTTGTTAACTAAAATCATTGTGATGGTCATTTTGCAGTGTATACAAATATCATATCATTACATTGTACACCTGAAACTAATATGTCAATTAGACCTAAATAAAAAATAATAAAACAAATAGGGGATACAAGACAGATAACTATATAACTGGTAGAAGAATATGAACAATAAGGATTTTGAAGGATTAAGGATAAGGTGGTATTTGATACTTCAGCAAATAGGAAAGAAAACCTTACAGGTAGAGCTTGAGGTACTCAGAAGGCAATGAGTGCAACAAGAGCTGAGGAACCACAGGGCACAGGATGGCACAAGGATATGGTGGGCACTGGCAGCCATGGAGGGCAGCTTGGTGGAGAATACCAAAGGCCGTGACCATCAGTGGATCCTGATGTAGAGATCAATGACTAACTTTAGGTAGGTGGCTAGAATTTTGTCAAAATAGTGGGCATGGCATAGCTATTATATGCAGTCTAAGAAAACAGGTGAAATGCTGACATAATGCAAACATTAGAGAAGCACAGCCAACATAAAAGCAAGACAAAGCACTCTAAAACCTTACAGTTCTATGGGTATGTGCTGAGAAAATGCAAACCCCACTGACAGTGCATCTCTATTATCTCTGTTATGGGAGATTAAATGGGCCAAGAAGGAGAAAACAAAAACAAAAATAATCTTTTGAAATGTCACCAAAATAAAATCCTTGATAGGTCCAACACAACCAGGTATATCATTAAGATATATTCTTAACAGAATAAAAGGCTAGAGTCAGAACACTGGCAATGTTAAAATCATTAAAGCTTTACAGAGGTAGTAAATTAGGAGCTAGTCACATTTTAAATTTGCCATCAGTGTTTTTTTATTGAAGGCCAGGAGTCAGAGCAAATTGAGCTGATGATGCAAGTTAGCACCATAGTGGTACAGAAGATAGCGAAAGAGTAGGATTTTTAAGTAAGGAGAGAGCTTTTAGGCTACAAACTTAAAATTGCCATAAAAGTGCTTCCACCATCTTAGAAAGACTTATGAGCACCATGCATCATCTGTTGAAACTCAACTTTTCCATTCTTTCTCTCCATTTCTTTTTCAGGTGAAAACTTCATGTTGAAATATATTGGATCTTATCTTTACCAAGTCAGATAGCTGTGTTTGAACTTATTTTTATCGTCAATCAGAGGTGATGAAGCATTGTAATGGGGCTCATGTTCCTTGCCACAATATATGTAGCAGTTGTATTTTGAATAACTCGATGTAAACAAAGGGAGTTTGTCTTGTGTATCAAAGGTTTTACAAGAGGCATTCTTTAGAACAACATCCATTCCTGTTGCCTAGGAACTCCAGCCATGCTCAAGGCAGAGCTTGCTGTTGGCTGATTGTGGCTGAGGTCACCTCTTGGTTTGGGTGGGCATGGTTTGTTCTTCAGAGCAAGTTGGAAAATGATTTATTTTTGTGACTTGCTCAAGCCTATTTGGAAAACAATGTTGGAGTATGAAAAGTCTTGTCCTGGTATGAAAACTTTGATTCTTTTTGCTTCTTGTTTACATGGGAACTCCTAAGGGTGCTTGGAGCATCTTACCTGCTGAATTGAATTGTGGGGCAGGAGATAATTTTAACATTCAGTGTTCTCTGGGGTCATGTGATAGTGTGAGATAGCCCTTCTGGGCCTCTAGTTCTGTGCAACTATAGTCATACAACTGATATGATGTGACCCTTATGAACCCTTCAGAAGTGTTCAGGGAGTAAAAAACAAGGTTAGACCTTTCAACAAGAGAATTTCAGGTATCAGCCACAAAACCATTCTCTGTCTTCCTCCTCTGCCTGCCACTATGTGGCCTCATGTTGTTCTTTGCCTCTGATGGCTGTTTCTTTCCCTCCCTCCTCCTCTCTGCAGACATGCCTTGAATTGGAACGCTACCTACAGACCGAGCCTCGGAGGATCTCAGAGACCTTTGGTGAAGACTTGGACTGTTTCCTCCGCGCTTCTCCTCCCCCGTGCATTGAGGAAAGCTTCCGGCGCTTAGACCCCCTGCTGCTCCCTGTGGAAGCCACCATCTGTGAGAAGAGCTCAGCAGTGGACATTTTGCTCTCTCGGGACAAGTTGCTATCTGAGACCTGCCTCAGCCTCCAGCCGACCAGCTCTTCTCTAGACAGCTACACAGCCGTCAACCAGGCCCAGCTCAACGCAGTGACCTCATTAACGCCCCCATCGTCCCCAGAGCTCAGTCGCCATCTGGTCAAAACTTCACAGACTCTCTCAGCCGTGGATGGCACGGTGACGTTGAAACTGGTGGCCAAGAAGGCTGCCCTCGGCTCAGTAAAGGTGGGCGGGGTGGCACCAGCAGCAGCTGTGGCGGCCGGGACGGTTAAGAGTGGACAGAGCGACAGTGAGCAAGGAGGGCCAGGGGCTGAGGCATGCCCCGAAAACAAGAAGAGGGTTCACCGCTGTCAGTTTAACGGGTGCCGCAAAGTTTATACAAAAAGCTCCCACTTAAAGGCCCACCAGAGGACTCACACAGGTAGTGGTACAAGTTGGCCGCACGTGGTTTCTGCTGCTTTTTTGTCCTCTAGCCTCGCGGTGGGAAGGGCTCCTCTCTGTCCCGAGAAGGGGAATCTGGGCTGACTGGGAGGCGGTAGAGAAGCAGGAGGACCTGGGCGGGAAGTGGAGTGACTGACTGGTTACCTTGAGCTCTCCAGATGTCCCAAGCACAGGACAGGACTTTGTCGCTTGCGGGCTATGGGATAACTTTCAGAGGCAGTGCCAGCCAGAACGTAGAACCTAGCAGCTCTGGGGACTCCTGAATGGGGCTGTGGTCGTGGGACTCACAGCTACATACGACACACGTGCTTGTCACGTTCCTGACACTTTTCATTGTTTATGAGTATAGTTTACAGTTCTGATTGATGCTGGAATCTGAGGAGGTATACTTGAAAGAACTCACAGTTAAACAAGGTAGTTAGGGTGTCCCTGTTCACTCTTTTCCCAGCATCTCTGATTTTTCATCAAAGTCACCAACAGCAGGAGGGTTTCAGAGTTCATTAGATGTGATCATTCTATAATTAATCGTCATCTCCTCTCTTGCATTGCTCTCTGGCGCGTGCTTTATGGAGAGATGGCAGAACTGCTTTTTAATGAGCTTGTTACTGAGAAGTTGCTAAAGTGATTACATTGCTATGTGTGTGGTACAGGGTGGTGGGAACCAATGGGGACTGTATATTTTATTCAGGATTTCTGTGGTAACTCCCAGGAATCATGTCGATCTTTGGAGCAATGGGATGATTTGGAAGACTGGTGTTTATAGAGAAAAGAGTAAGACTGGCATTTTCCTTGAAACTGGTCATTGTTCTCTGCTTTGAGGTAGAAGCTTAGGGCTGGTGTCTCTTCCTCATGTGAGCATACTAGAAGCAATTACTGTCATTGGTGGTTTTTAAGTGAGTTTCTGACAGTGTATTGCCAGTATGGTTTTTGCATACTGCTTGCACAGTGTCAGCTGAATAGGGAAATGCTGCAAAGGTATATGCTACAGAATAAGAGCATAGTCGGAGAGCAGTGGGTGACTGGCTCTGAGTTTAGGGAGTGTCTGATGAGAGGTCTTTCTGGGCTCACTGCTTGTCTTCTGGGTGCTCTGTAGTGGTTTGTGGAAAACCACAGCAAAAATTATTGGCTGGCAAATCAGAAAAACCTGGGTTCTAGTTCTGACTCTGCCACTAACTGGCTCTATGGCCTTGAGTGTGTCTCTGCCTCCCTGGGCCTCATTTTCCACATCTGTCAGACAATCCAGCTCTTAAGGGCCCTTTTAGCTCTAAGGTTCTGGGAGGATGAGGGGTGGTCTGTGATATGTCTTTGTGCAGTACAGAAGAACTTTCCTGAGGTAGGATGCATAATATGTGAGTAGAAGACATAACATGTCACCTTTTGGAACCTCAAAGTTATTCCCACGGGAGGCTGAGAGGTGACATTGCTTCTTTGCAGTGCAGGAGTTAGGCATACATTACTCTAATTCTGAACTTAATTTCCCATGTGGCTCTTGCTTGGTTCAGGGGAAGGTCTCCCAACATAACTTTTGAACTGCATGGCTCAGGTGCAGAGACCCACTTACGGTTTCCCAGGAGTTTGGATTCAAGTTCCACCCTCCACAGACACCACAGCTAATGCTTCCTGCTACTGTTAGCTTTTTTCTGTGTTTGACACTGTCCGGAATGTCATTTTTCTTTCTTTCTTTCTCAAGTCAATGAGTAAGTAAGGACAAGGCATTGCAGTGCTCCCAGGCTTCAGTCATGACTCATCTCCTGTTGTGCCCAGGAAACCAGAGAAAGCTGGATGAGGCAAGAATGTTGAGCTTTGTTGGGGGTGTGCAATTCATGATATGGACACATTCCTGAATTATTGACGCTAAGACAGGCAACATCCTGCCTAGTGTGGGGGCTGGACAGCTCTGGGAAAGCAGAGGTCCTTTTGTGTATGTGTGTGGTGGGGGCAGGGAGGGAGTCCAGAGCGTTTTCTTTTCTTTCCTCTCCTCCTGACCGGCGTCAGAAGGAAAGCTCGTAGGAGTCCTCCTTCATGTGGTGCTGTGTTTTTGGGGCTTTGTCCACTCAGTGATGATCAAGGTGGAGCTCATCATGTTCCCCAGCCCCTGCAGCCACTGCCTGTGGTGGGCTGAAGTGGAGAGACTTCTCCCATAGGGAATTTACTCGAGGAGGCACGGTGCCCTATTAGCAAAAGAAGTAGCACAGAGGGGCTGTGAGTAGGGCTTTATGGTCAGGTGGGCCTGGTTTGAGTTCCGGCTCTACCTCTTACTTGATTTATGACCTGGTTAGGTTGTCTGTTTTCCCTGAGTTTCCATTTCCTCATTTGTAAAATAAGGGTAATTTTGTCTACCTCCTAGATTGTTTTGAAGAGCAGATGAGTAAAAATATGTCAGATACTTGGCAGGTCATAAGAGCTCATTACAGACCGTGGTGGAGTTAATGGTAGTTACCATTGTTGTGGATCTTGATTAGGGATGAGCATGTGTAAAGGTGTAAACTAGAGAGAAGCCAGGTAGCCAGTTTGGTACCCGAAAGCAAGACGCTTTTCTCTCCTCACTCCTGTGCTGTCAGTGTGGGGATTATGATGCTTACGGACGGCAGGACTGTGTGCAGGCTCTGGCTCGTGGAGGCTGGGAGTACGGTAGAGCACAGCCTCCCAAAGACAACACAGGCAGCAATGGCCTTGTATGCTCCAGAGGCGTTTTGCCTGTGAAACCTTTCTTGGAGACAAGCATGGGAGGAAAAGTAGGTGCTGTGAGAAAGAAGCAGACAGGAGGGGAGGCAGAGGTGAGGATGGAGGATGGGGAGAAGGAATATGAATTAATTTGGATTAAATGGATGAGAATCAGAAGTATTTATTTGGAATTGGTGTGAATGGGGCACATGGGGAACTGAAAACAAAGGTGATAATTTATGTGGTGTGGATGAACTAAGAATAATGAAAAAAGCATGAAGGATGGAATCAAATTAAGTGCAAACATATAAAGGAAATGGACTAGTAAAAGCTTGAGGGCAAAGGTAAATGGTGATGGGAATTCAGGTTCAAGAACGGTTTAGTAATAAGAGCGAGTGGAGTGGGGAGGCTGCTGCCCAACTGTTGAAATGAGGTTTAAGGAAACAGGCTCTAGATGGATTCAGGCAAGCCACTTTACCAGAGGGCTCACTTCAATTCAGTGAAAATACTTCCTTGTCTTTCTGTTGGGGCAGTGCTTCGGGACAGGAAAAAAAATGAGAAAACCATCCAGCACAAAGAGGAAATATTGCCTTTTTTTTCTCCAGTTATATATATGCTATATTTCTTCCAAATGGTAATATGCTGAAAAAGAGGCATAGTTGCAAAAATGAAATAAAGGAAAATGTGTGGGTCTTCCTCTATGCATAAGAAGGACAATACACAGTTGGTAACATGGATTTGCTTGCATTCAAGAATTTTTGAAGTGTTACTTATTTAAACTTTTTATAGATAGAATTTATTAAGCTGGGAAAGATATCCTTTTTGGCTTTTGTTTTTTTCCTTCTGTAGCTTTTTTTTGAGGATGCTAAATCCTTCAAAGTTTTTGCCCTGAAGGATGTTAGGCAATGAGGCGATTTTTTTTTTTTGAAGGTAGCAGATGTTCAGGTTTGTAGCTGGAGCACAAATACTGGTTGCCCACAGAGGTGAAGTTAGGGATGGGAGAACTAAGGGTGGGGAGTGGTGGAAGAGGATGAGGGAGAGACCAGGACAAAGGGAATATTGTGAAATAGCAGGATCTCAGTGAAAGGAAGCATATAAAAATGGGCATATGGTTTATTCATTGGGAAGAGCACTTTGTGCTGGCATGAGTATAAAAATGTCCTTTAGCAGCCAGGCCATTACAGATCTTTCTCTCCCACTCTGTTTTCTCGTCTTTATATTTTTCTTTCCCAGTAGTTCAACCATTATGATAAGTTTTATTCATCTTCTCAGAGTCAGCTTAATAATCCTTTATATTTTGATGTCTGGGAAACCTTCACTTGCAGTTTTTAAAGCATCACTTTATTATGCCCATTTTCAGCACAAATCATTTGTTAAAATGTTAGTAGTTAACTGTGCAAAAAGAGAGAATTACTTTCTACATTTCTTCTTGATCACTTCTGAGATAGAAAAAAAGCCTGTGATTAAAATGGTGCTTTGTGTAAAGTGAGCAGACTTTTTTCATACACGGAAATTCCTATAAAAGCATGTCCACATTTTTACTATTAAGAGTGAGTCATTTTGGTTAAGTCAGGACAAAGGCCAGCAGTGAAGTCTGGTTGTTGGTCACATGAAGAGGGAGAAAAGAGGCCGTGTTCTTTCATGTGCTGCGTGGAGAATTCTCCCCGTGGGCCAGGGTTGCTTTCGCCTGATTCTTGGGTGGGGATAAGGACAGTCTAGATTTTGTACCAAAGGACGTAAAGGGATGCTTTTCAGGTGGAAAGATGAAATATAAGTGTGTGATATACTTAGCATTTTATATCTTCTTTGGGGCAGGTCTTACTGAATCAAGAGGTGACACCATTTCTAAGTTTAATTAGGACTTAGGGCAATAGTTTATTTTCAAATGAAAAGGTGGCTAAAAATATTACAAACAAAAAGATGAGTGTCATGTTTGAGGCAAACAGAAGTGCTCATTTGGTACATATAATGAAAGTTCTTTAAAGTTTGAAAAATAATTTTATTTTACTTATTCAACAAATGCTTACAAAATACTTGTTTTATGCCAGGCATTGTTCTATGTCTTATACAAATGTTAACCCCTTTAATTCTGTATAAGTCTAATGGCATAGGTACTATTCTTATTTTATAGATGAGGAAAATGAGGCCCAGAGAGGTCAAATAACTTGCCCAACATTACACAGCAGGGGTAGCTGGGCCAGGATCAAAACCAAACTGTATTGCTTCAGTCCAAGCTTTTAACTTCCATGCTACTAATGAGGGGAAAAGAAGTCAAGTACATATTTTTCTTAATAACCCATTTTTAAGAGGAAATGA